TATTCTCTGGTTTGGGTTAAGAATAGCTATATGAAGGTCATCTCTCCAATGACAATCTTTTCGAACAGTGGAAATTAAGGGTTCAGTAATTAAAGAAGGATAAGTGTCAGCTCTCTCTAATTTAATTACTTGGTCACGAAGGGATTCTTTATCACGCTCGAAAGATAAATCGGTTGGCACTATTTCTTCGACCAAAGGTTCTTGCATCGACTCAGAAGATTCTTTGCCTTTAGAGGAAGATCTATTAATGAAAGAACCTCTAGAAGTAATACCAGAGCTAGAAGAAGGAGTGATGGAACCAGAGGTACCACCACGAATGGATCCAAGGCCACGAAGTCTACCCCCTCTACCCCTTCTATGTCTCACAGGGACATTGGGGAAACTGTCAAGAATTGGGACTCTTCTAGGGTTGGGATTTGAAGATGACATGGTAGAAAGGCTTGAACAGAGGAAGAAGTGAATAGAAGTAAATAGTGAAATATTAGGTAAAAATTTGTGGAAGGAGGATTAAGTTTATATAAAAGCAACCGTCAAAGATTAAGAAGTGTAATGATGGAAAGCCTATAATAAAGGCAACTATCACTTCGTGAATAGTGGAGTTGAAGAAGCCTTGAAAAAAGGCTGCAGAATTACAGAGCTAATGAGAAGGAGACACGTGTGTGATGCATTAAATAGAAAAGACAACTGAAGCGTTAGTACTGTCATAACATTAATTATGGCAAAAATCCCCTTTTTAATGAAGATCCACTTCCCAAATATTTAATTGATAAATAAATGGAAAGTGGGGGGACTATCTGTATTGGGAAAAAACTGAATTTAAATATTGAAGATGACATGTCATGACACGTGGACCGGTCAAATAGTCAAAGCATGACAAACAGTTAGAAGACACGAGCAACAATAGATGCGGGAGAGAAGATACTTAAAGGTACGAGCTATTATCCAGATGAAACGAGACTCGTACCTGTTCGAGCCATTTAAAGTTCGAAGATCAGAAGGAATTGAAGATATGAATCTGATAGCGTAAATGAGTCCAAATTCAACATTAAATGTCAAATATGTTAGAGAATTTGTATTTAATAAGAATGATTGATAACATTTCTTTTAATGTCATTTACTGATCGTAATTGCCTCATTAAGACAAAGATATTACACTTTCTCTTAGAATTGACTATAAAAGGAGAAAGTCACAACATCTGTTGGGGACACGAAATATCATTCCGATTATACTGAAATATACTCTTATTCATTGCTTTATTGTTGTTCACAAAATCTCTTATTTCTTGATTATCAGTAATCCGATTTCTCTATTAAATTCTAGTTTTAACCAAATATTCAGTTTTTTGGTTAAACACATATGACATTTAAAATAAAAACAAAATCAAATATCTAGCCATTAAACCGGTCCGGGCAGGTTAACCGGTTCAACAGTAATTTCTGTTGACCGGGTTTGACCGGTCTAGTTAACCGAATCTTTTTTAGTGAACGGACCAACCCCCTAACTCCCCCCCTAACCTAGCCCACCCGGCCCCCTAACTATCGGTCCGGGTCGGTTCGGATTTCAACAGATCTGGGCCGGTCCAAAACAGGTCACCCCGCCCCGTTTGACACGCTTATTTTGAATTGAGAAAGTTATAATATAAAATTTATTTTTAACACACAACATATAAATTCTGATCCTGAAATAGTAGTAAATTTCTATCAAACTCGCGAATCTATAATTAGATCTGACACCTATTCAAAATGAGAGCTAGTGCCTAGTGGGTTCTAACGATTAAATTGTTTTCAGAATTTATTCTCCCTTTTAATAGAGGCTTTTAATGTCATCACTCATGATCAGCTGGATCCTCCTCTTTGATAATAACTTGCTACATATAAACCAACCATTTCTCGTCAACTTTTCAAAGTTTGATTTCAGTATATTAACGGCTTGTTTGGTAGGAAATAAGTTATTTCTAAATTATGTTAATAAGATCATAATACGAGAATTATAATAATAATGAGATTATTTAGTAAATATATTTTATTGGAATATGTTTGATTCACAAGGCTAAAAATGAGATATACGAGATAAACATGTGTTTGGTGTATACTAGATAAGTTGGAATAAACTTTTATTTTTAATTTTAACCTTGGATTATTTAAGTGACCCGGGGGAAGAGTCTTGGAGAAGAGAATCTTTGTCATTTTAGTTTTTATCTTGGGAATTAATTTTGAATTTAAAAATTTATTTAAATATGAGATAAAATAATTCACATCTAATTTTAAGATTATTATCTCTTATCTCACGTACCAAACGATTCCTGGAAATCACCAAGAAAGTGCTTGTACCTTGCTTTCATTTTCTATCTTAGTCACAGTGTACTATTAATCAAGTCCAACAAAGGCCAGCTTGTAAAGTCTAAGACGCCTTTCTTGTGAAAAATGTAGGCACCTAATGTCAAATCATTTCTAAAACCATCTTATATAATCTGCAAAGACTGCAAAAAGTGACATGTCCTACAAAATCATTTTAAAAATATTTCCTCAAATGAAAAACGTAATAAAATATTACTCCTTTCTGCTTATAATATGTGACCAATTTGTCTTAAGCACACCCATTAAGAAAATATTTAGTTCTAGACAAAAATAGTTAGTGTGATTAAACTATCCTTAATTAAATGTTGCAGCAAAATTTAATGTGGGGAATAAAAGACTTTTTAGGAATACGTACATAAGAGTAATTTTGAATAAATAAATTAAATTTTTTCCTGATTATATAAATGGACACTTGTTTTGGACCTAAATTAAAAGATAAATTGGTCACTTATTGTGAATTAGATGGAGTATGATTTTGTTATGTCTTGCAAATGGACATATTCTTGACAATAGTTAGGGGGGTTTTGCTCGCTCTAAAAATAAAGCAATATGAACTGATTGGTGCTAATTTTTTTTTCGGGGGCTCTTTTCATTTAAATACAACCATAACTTCAAATCACTCCCACTTGATTGCGATCGCCGGGTATTATCACTTTTAGCTCGCGTCAGAAACTATTTATATATGGTAGCCGAAAAAGTATATAACATTTGTATACAACATACAAAATGTATATATATAAAAAAAAATATACAAATTTTATATATTTTTCAGTTATTATTTTTACAGCGGTTATACTGTGTCATTTTTCCTTATTTTTTTCTTTTTACAAAGTTGACAGGGAAGGCAGGAAACACAATTAAGCTAAAATAATAGCAAAGACGAAACCAAAATTAATGAGTTCAAAATTTTACTCTTTTTAAATTATTGAATTCTAAATTAATGTTTGAATGTTGTAATGAATTTTTTAGACAAATGCAAAGTTTGGACCAAAATTATTGGGTTCAACCGACCTCGTAACCAGTATGCTAATTCTGCGGCTTTCGCCTCATTGCACTGTAATTCGAACTCGTGACACGATAATTAAAAAGTTAATATGATCTTTTAAACTTATTGTGTTATCAATAAGTCACAATTATGATACATCTAGCATCTTTGGCTTGCACAACTAAAATTAAATGACTATAGTGCATTAGGTAATCTAACAAAAAAATAACTTTCAATATACTCGTCTTCTGTTTATTCTTGTCCTTAAACTTTCTCATCTTTATCCAAACCTAGAAGATAAGAAAGCTTACTTATTGCCAGAGGCGGATGTAGTGCATCGCTGACGGATTTAATTGAACTCATAACTTTTGACGCGGAGTAAAAATTTATATATAAAAATTTATTAAAATTATAAAAATAATACATACGAACCCATAACTTTAAATATATAATGGTTTCAATGTTAAAAACTTCAAAGTTAAACTCATAGAATTAAAATCGTGAATCCGCCTCTACTTATTGCTAACAACAAAACAATAATGCAACACCACAAAATCATTTGGTGCAAAAGTGACCACAAAAATCTTGGACTAGAATTCTAAGAAAATTTCTAAAAGTGTCCCACAAGCAATAAATTATTTTAAACTCTAGCCACGTGTTAAAATTCTAATGGTTACAATTGTCTGTGGACCCATTCCCTACCACAAAATTTAACCTTGTCCATATAGTTGCTGACTCATTAATGACCAAACGATATGATTTCTCGTTACTATATTTCCTCGAATCTCCTATCTATGTATTTCCCTATCTAATTCCAATTTTTTATTTCACTATCCGATATAAGCGCATCTAGAATTTAGAATTTAAACTTTATGAGTTCTAATTTAAAAGTATATCAAATTCTCATTCTTTATTAGTTTGAAAATCTATTATCTATTATGAGTTAACGAGTTCTTTTATTTTATATCTATATAGAATCTAAACTAAAGTTACTGAATATTGATGAACATATACTATCTTTTCACTAGATTTACGACATTGATTAATTCAGATTTACGTTGAGTAAGTCAAATAAGAATATAAAGTGCTCCCTATCTAGAAGTTGTTCATTTTCAAGGTTAGACTTATAATTAACGATGAAGGAATCTTAATCATCCTATCATGTAGGGGTCGTTTGGTTGAAAAGATGTTATTTCAGAATTAATTATTTCATTTTTTTATAGGAATAAAAAAATACTACAATTCTAATCTCGAGATTAATTATACTTTAATTTTTTCAACCAAACATAGAATAAACTTTTTTTAAATTTAATTCCAGAATTAATTATTTCTTGTATCTCGTACCAAAGGAGCCCATAGAGTCTAATCCCAATTATTTTGTCTTCCTAAATTTTATGCGCTTTCTGACGTGGCACGACATTTTATTTTTCCTTTATCAAATAACCTTTCGCCACGTCATTTTCATCAACCCCAAAAAATCATATTTTATTATCCCCTAGCCTCTTTTCTCCACTATTATATACCCCTCCACTTACCCTTTTCTAAACCTCTTCTATTCTTGTTCTTTCCAAAAAAAAGAATTCCTATCAAACATTTCAATAACATCTTTCTCCTTCTTCTTTCTTCTCATTATTTTGAGGGTTCAAAAAATCCTAACATGGATTTCCCAGAAATTAACATGATCAGCGATTTTGAAGCAGGTGTGAAATGTCTACAAAACCCTTCTTTAATTTCTCGGTTCTTTTCACTTTCAGGAGTAACCCAAATTTACGGTTTCTGGAAATGGGGCGCTTTAATTCTTGCAGTTGTAGCCACTTTTAGCAGCCTAATAAGAAAAATCAAACTTTTGTTCATTTACGTTTTTACCCTTAAACCTTCCGCTGAACCTCTCCTTCAATACCTCGGCGAAGACTTTGATATCTCAGACTCCGACGATGACGACGATAAATGCTCAACGCCGCCGTCTTCTGACGATGAAGACCTCATCGATCGGCAAATTGATGAAGATTTTAGAGTTTCTGGCTCGAGTTTCTATTTTAAGGAGCAAGGTCAAAATAGTAATTTGAGACTTCGACGGCAGCGGAATAGTTTTGAGCGGTTCCCGTGGACGGATTTTTCTGCCGGAAAAAATGTCGTGAAACTGTGGGATCGTTTAGCGTTAGGTTTAGATTATGAGTATGATGATTTATCTAAAAGTGTAGTGTCGTTATGGGATTTGAATGCGGAGCAGAAAATTAGCGATATTTTTAGCGGTTCTTCTCAGGTTCCAGCGGTGGCAACGGCGTCACCATCGGTGGTTTTGTCATCGGAGATGAAAAATTATCGTAACGGTGTCGTTTTAGCTGCGTACGATACGAGGATGAAGAATCAGTCACCGGCGATATGTGCTGAGTGGAGGAAAGGTTCAGGGAAGGTCGTCGGAGTCAATGCCGCCGACGCCGGGAAAGTTTACCTGAGAAATGAAGCTGCCGGAATTTTGACGGTTGGTGACATGAGGAACGTTAAGTCACCGTTAGAGATAACGGAGAGTGACGATGACACGTGGTGGGACGCGGACGCCGTTACAATCGAGGAGAAGTTTGACGGTTCAAATTGAACTAGTCAAATTGAACGAGTTTCACTGACTCGGTGAATGAATGATCTAGAAAGGGTAAAATCGTAAATGACAAAGGCGAAATGTGAAGGAACGAACACTCGTCCGTGTTTGTCTGTAAATATAATTATTTTCAATAATTATTGGAAATGATAATTTAATGGTTGGTCAAGTTTACTTTTCTTCTACATTTTGTTTGTTGTCTCTAATATGAATATTTTAATCTGAATTTCTTTATTATTTATTGTTATTTTAAGTGTTAAATTTGTTGCTTTTTGGTTTGTTTAGCTGGGTGATTCTACCAAAACCCATTTGATTAGTTAGGATGTAGGAGTTCTTTTATCATTTTGAATATTTTCAAAACTATTATACAACTAAACAGCTCAGCTTATTTAAATAATTGATTGTGTTAATTACACTTTATGACATGGTGGAGAAACAAATAGTAGCATAAGAATAGCTATAATTATTGGAATTTATTAGGTGATCAGGATATAATGTGATAGTTGAGGCTACTTAATCCTTCGCCAAAAATCTAGGGCTAAAGTCTCGCAAAAGAAAAACATACTCCTAATAAAGGGCGATTAATCGAACCAATAAACTTCTAATATATGATTGTTAAATAAAAGAAATTGCCCGTAAGGATTGAGTGAGTTGTTTCCCATATGGGAGATTTGTGATCGATTTTCTTCATCAGTAGCCTCATCAATTAGAGTTTGTTGCACCAGGCTTGCCTAGTGTGATTTATATTTTTTATATGGTTTGCGAGCTATTGCACAGATCAGGTTATCCAATGCAAACCCAATGAATAGCGAATGTGGATTTCCTTGATAAATTTTCAAAAAGAAAAAGGAAAAGTAATGAACTTCCAATAATTACAAAAGTCATGTTGGGTGGGTACACACTTTTCATACAAGAAACAAACACTTTTGGCTGTCATCCATAATTCAACAACATGAACCAGAAACACTTCAAATGTCTCAACTCACAATAAATACATAGTATGACAACAAAAATATGAGAATTTAGTGGGCTTTCAACTTTTGGTTGAAAAAAGGAAAAGTGCACTTTGATTAATGTCCATGTTGGATTATTGTTGATTGTTAGTCCCTTTTTTCTTTATTAATTTATAAACCTACCTTCTATTTTTTATCATCGTCAATCAATAAAAATATTCTCTCCGCTCTCTGAGAAATAATAACATATTTAGTATAATCCACCAAGTCAAAATTTGGAGAGTAGTGTACATCCAAATCTTATTCCTACCTTGTGAAGATAGAAAGACTGTTTCCTATAGATCTTCGATTCAAGAAAAACATTCTTATTAGAAGTACTAATGTAAAATTTTTGGGACATAAATTTATCGGTAAAAAAATAAAAGACAGCCAGATTAACGACTGGTAATTGAACAATAGCCACAGTTTAAAAAATAATCGTATTTTAGTCAATTTTTCATGTAAAGATAAAATTTGAACAAAAACACCCTTAAAATCCAACAATATTCTAGCATATATGTTAGAGTTCGAATTAATTACATGTGGTCTTCCGACATAATGTGTTGGAATTTCATAATGTGCTGGAGTTCCAACATAATATGCGAAAAGTTTATATGCAGGAGCTCCATAATACAACATATTTTGCTGAAAGTTTACACGCATGAGCTCTATAATCCCGCATATTATGCTGGAACTTTCCGTGTTTCAGCAAAACAATGACTATTTTTCAATAACTTTACAAATATTAGCTATTTTTTAATTACCAGTCCGAAAACTGGCTAGCCCATGCTATTTTCACAAAATTATCCAGTGACCATACATGATCATAACAAGTGACAACCACTTATTTTCTTCTTTGTGTCACGGTTGCATCATGCATGGTTGGGGAGGAGTTTTAAAAAGGAGTTCGGAATCAAAATGTGGTTCTTTTGGACTCAAAATATTATTTTTTTAGGTGTAAAAAAATGTTATCATTTTATATA